GTAGACGACTGTCACGCTCGCTTTAACTCAATAAAACAACAACAAATGTTTCTAAATATCCTAAACGAACAAAACCCTGCCATAAAATACACTGTTGAACTCGAAAACCACCAAAAACAACTTAACTTTCTAGATGTTAATATAACAAACACAATGCATGGAACTTATGAATTTCAAATACATCGAAAAGAAGCAATAACTAATATTCAACTAAAACCTAACTCAAACATCAATCCTAATATTATCACTGGCGTATTCAAAGGGTTTTTATGTCGTGCAAAGAGATTATGCTCTCAAAAGTATCTCAAACAAGAAATGGCCCCCAAGTTTTTGTCGTCACGTAATCACCATCATCCCTATTTAAAACTTTTTCATCACTTCCAAGTTTTTGTCGAACTTTAGCTCTGTTTACTTCGAGTGACTCTCGAAGTGATTTTCTAATAAAAATGTTTGTTGAAAACGGGCACAACAAGAACAATCTAATTAATAACGCCAGAAACTTTCTAAAAAACGAATTAAAAAATACCAATTATAAACCAACTGACAACCAACCATTTATAAAACTACCATGGATACCAATCGTTGGTCCCAAACTTAGAAAGGAACTTAAAAAATAAAACATAAAAGTTATATTTACATCCGCTCCAAATTTAAACAATATTTTATGCAACAATAAGACAAAACTTCCTCCAAATACAAACCCAGGCGTCTACCAACTAAAATGTTCATGCAATTCTATATACATTGGAGAAACTAAGAAGAAAGTTATATCAAGATGTATTGAACACCAGAAAAATAGTGTTAAAGGAAAATGGGCCAGTTCAGGTGCTACCGAACATTCCAAATCATGCCAGGGTACATTTGATTGGTTACATCCCAAAACCATATCAATCGCTCCAGAGTATCATATTCGGAAAATTCGAGAGTCACTCGAAGTAAACAGAGCTAAAGTTCGACAAAAACTTGGAAGTGATGAAAAAGTTTTAAATAGGGATGATGGTGATTATGTGACGACAAAAACTTGGGGGCCATTTTTTGTTAGATTATTTGGCGTCAACATTTAAAGCTATTTTGTATTTTGTTATGCTCTTCTTAATGTTATCTTTTTAACAGTTAGTTTTTATTACAACAATTTTCTTTCTAACGATTTTTATTTATTACACCTGATGACGCTGATCACAATAGATCAGCGAAATATCGAAAGAAAAAATATATTAAAATAAAAACAAATATATATTTTTTAAAAAGTTTTTACGCAGCCATTTTTATTGAATTTTACATATTTTATTATTATCGTATAACAAGAAAATGACTTTTAAAGAGTGTATATATATATATATATATATATATATATATATATATATATATATATATATATATATATATATATATATATATATATATATATATATATAGCCTCCTTCTTGGCCTTTAGAAGGTGAAAGTAAAAAAATAATATATATATATATATATATATATATATATATATATATATATATATATATATATATATATATATATATATATATATATATATATATATATATATATAGCCTCCTTCTTGGCCTTTAGAAGGTGAAAGTAAAAAAATAATATATATATATATATATATATATATATATATATATATATATATATATATATATATATATATATATATATATATATATATATATATATATATATTAAAAAATATTATATATTATATATTCAGGTCAGGTCAGGTTTATCCTGCTACTGGTAACATGTAACCCAGTACAATCTGCTTCATGTCCTGCTGCCTTGTAGGATATGCCTTTTTAGGCAAAGGCTAGAAGATGCAAACTCTGACATAAAACACCCCCTGCCATAGGGCTCTTGGTTGAGTAAAGGCTAGAGATGGTGTCTTGATAAAAATACTCATCTTGGGCAGATGTTAAATGCATCTGGCTGCTGTCTTGTAGAAGACCTCCTAGGCAAAGACTTAAGGTGTAAACAGATTCTATATGTTCACCAGCCTCGCACCCCTTCTCCACCTATTAGGCTGGCGCAGATGTATTTTTAATACATTGTTTCCAGTTTAGGATGTTGAACGCTGGATCTTCTTGACTTGATGCATGGGTTTTGCTAGTGCCTCTGTTTTTATGACTAGGCAACTCATTCTATTATCTCCAAATAAGGGTACAGCTCTAAAACTCTGTTTTATGGTTCTGAGGCCGGCTGGTATTCAGGTTTCCCAAACTCTGTGGTAGCTCTCAGAGAGGCTGATTCCATCAACAGCTGAAAAATATCAGAGTCCTAACAGTGCCATGTTGCGCATGGATGGTGTCCCTGTTTGTACTTTTGGTGTGCATTGCCAAAACCACATTGGAGCCCTTTGTTACGGCTTAGGGTTTATTAGTGGAAATGAGGCAATTGCTTGGGCTATAAAACAGTGTACTGAGTACTATCTATGTTTCAAGTCAAGTTCTTTAACAAATTTAAAAATGAATAAAGTCACAAAAACTATAAAAAACAAAAA